AGGACAAGGGTAAGGAAACAGGGAGATAAAAGAAAAGAGAGAACCTGAAAGAGAATACCAGTAGGAAACAGGCCTTAATAAGGGAGATATGGATATAAAAATTGGGTTAGTTTAAGGAGTGGGTAGGGAAGGGTACACAAGGAACATAGGGGATAAAAGGAAAGGAGGAGCTCAAGAGAGGTTGAACTGTAGGAGAAGGGTATTATTAAGGGAGAAAGGGGGGAAATGGGGGCACCTTAAGTGGGAAAAAGATGATGGGAGGGGTGAGACAATGCGAGAGATAAACAATGCCTAGCTAGTTTTGAAGAACAGAGGGAAGTGGGTAGGGAAGGGTACACAAGGAACATAGGGGATAAAAGGAAAGGAGGAGCTCAAGAGAGGTTGAACTGTAGGAGAAGGGTATTATTAAGGGAGAAAGGGGGGAAATGGGGGCACCTTAAGTGGGAAAAAGATGATGGGAGGGGTGAGACAATGCGAGAGATAAACAATGCCTAGCTAGTTTTGAAGAACAGAGGGAACCATATTACTCCTACAACCTAGGAGTTGTAGCAGATCAAGAAATATATGTCTAGGTAAGGTTTATCTGAGAACAACTGGTCTTTGCCCAAGATTTATCTACATGACACACAGTAATTAAAAATACTAGACTGGTGGAACTAACCTTCTTGGGTGTTTAACAGACACACTTTGAGGCCTATAATAATTTAGTCAGAGGGACAGAAAGGACAGTTTTTGCTCCTAGGCCTCCTAGGTCGACTAGTTCCAGGGGACTATGAGCATCTCTCAAAATGCCCTATAATGGTGGTGGGTCACCTGTCCTCTTGATCAAGAGGCCGAGGAGACCCTACCAGATGGACTTAAACCAGTGTTCAGTCTATAAAGAGGAGCGTCAATACAGAGCAATCATTTCCTCTGTGCTTCCAAGCGAAGCCAACCATGGTCGAGCAGGACCTTTGACTTATCTTCATATAAGCGGAACTGGTAAAAGAAAGGAGCCAGGGGCTCCTCCCAAGCCCATGTGACCCCTGAGAAACAGATCTTCAAATGACCTTAAGAGTAAAAATAAATTGGTTTATCTGGTCCAACTGTATGGCCTTAAACACCCAAAAGGAAAGTAAAATCAAAGATTAAAGGGGCCAATATAATTTCATAAGAGTCCATATGTATAGCTAAAGGCTAGGTAACAAGCAACAATGCCAGACAAGCGATATCTTCTTCTGAGTTGTTGGCCAGTGTGGCCAAATGGACTCCCAGATAGTAACCCAGCATAGAACTGGGAAAATAAACAGCAG